CAGTTTATTCAGTATGTTATTTTGCATGAACATTTGTACAGTTGATATTTATGTTATTTATCAATTAAAACAGTTGAATTTATTTGTCCCAAACTTTGAGTAAAAGTGAAGGACGTTTACGTCTATCTTCCACATAAAACCAAAATTCTACTTTTATCATTTTGACAAATACAGACCAAGAAACACTAGCCCAGAAAGGACAAAAATTCTACTGTATCTGCAACCAGATGAGACTAGAGTGAAAAGTGTTGGCTTAATGTGATTTAATATCAGGTTATGGTTAGAGGTCATAGTGATGACTAGTTAAGATTAGGGCCAAGGTTGGGTTTTGGTTAAGGTAAGGAGATACACAAATTAGTGGGTGAAAAGACTTGAACACAGCACCAGACCGGTCTGATCTATTTAGAGAACAGTGCTTCTCATTTGATTATGCTCTTCCTTGCAACATTTTTTTCCCATAAAAAATTTTGGCCTGTTAATCATGTCCTATTTTTTCTTCTAGGCATCTCCAGTCTGATCACAGCCACGGTGACAGAAGTTTTGCTCAGTGGAAGGTCCAACTGGATATTGTTCAGTGCTTGGAAAATCAGGTGGGAACTTTAGAAATCTAGAAGGTGTACAACAGGCCGTAAACTTCATAATTTGAAGGGGAAGGCCATTTGGCCTTCAATTTCATCCTTTTTCAGCGAGCACAAAGGCCACTTGACTGAGCACTATTGCTGACATGATATATATGTGTATGTAGCTTATGTATATACAGCCTGAGTAGTAAAGTTACAAAGTAGGGTTTGGTGTTCACCACATACTTGCTATGCTTAAATTAAAGTGCAGATGCTTGTAGAACTGTTAAAGACAAATATGCAGAGACAGTATAGCATAGCATAGCATAGCATTGCATAGTATAGCATAGCAACTATGCTCCATTATAATTTGGATAGTAAATTGTGTTATCTGTGCACATTTAGACTCAAAGGCAAACTAATCTCTTGTTGCTCTCTGCTGATGTTTCCTAAGATCATGGGATGTATTAAGGAGAAAACAGAGGAAAGGATGTCAGATTTCCTTTAATTACTCTAATTGTTGTGCCCAGAGGCCGTTGGCAGGTGGACCCAAATAGCAATACTTGGATTCTAAGCACTGGGGAGATTGGAACAATAGACAGACGCAGCAGATCTCACCGGTGGGGGAGAGAGTGTTGACTGAGTGGTTGGAAGGATAACTGGCTGCAACTAAGGATGTGGCACCAGAGATTAAAGGGCTACAGGGCCACGTGGGGAAGAATCAAGGCAGCAGGGAGAGGAGTGTTCGTTGTGTGTGTGTATGTGTTGGGAGGAGTGGATTCTGAATAAAGTGAGGAGGAGTGAGGCTGGAGAGTAGAGTATCTGAAGAGCTGGTATCCAAGAGGAACAATGTAGCTAATGGTGGTGGTGTGATGATCAGATGGAGGAGTGGAGACTGGTGGACATAGAGTCTGGGAGCTGATTGGGTTGAGGGAGCAGAGCAGATTGGAGTGGATGGCAGGAGGGACAGTGAGGTGGAACACATGATAGCAGGTCCTGGTCGTGGGGATGAGGTAGAAGAAGGATGGTCAGGTGGCAAAGAGGTGGGGTGGCAGGACAGGTGGTAGAGGTAGGTGAGGAGATGGCAGATCTGGAGGTGGGGTTGGTGAGATGCAGACAGATCAGGAGGAGAGAAACACTGGCACTCAACAGGGCAAAGAGGAGAGTCAGTCAGGTAGCAGAAACGCCGACACTGACCGAGAAATGAAGAGGTAAGTTCACTCAGGTAGCTGGGACGTTAACCAGGAAACTGAAGGGGTGAAAATTTGTCACAAGATGATCAGAGAAAAGGCAGTCAGAGGTCCATTCTCTAGAGAACATGCAACAATCTGGTGATGAGAACACACCAGCATGCAGCTTAAGTGGGGCTGGGTAGATTGCAGTCAGTCATGTTGGGCATGTCTCGTTGCCTGGACCGGCTGCTGGCATGTGAGGAGGCGGAGGTGCCAGCTATAGACATGACACTAATTGGTGTAATAATTGTATTCTTCGGGCATCATGAAGACAGAATGACCAGCATCAATTCTAGTACTGTTAAAACTATAAATAAATGCATAATGACTACCTATTTTCACTTGGTTGTCAATATTAGTGCTTATTTAGCTAATGCAATATTTCAACTAGCAGAGAAAACTCAGTAGATTTTAACACTACACATGTTTTCCAGCCTCTGAATTTTCATACAGCTTCTAGACAGAGCCAAATATTAAATCCTTCGATCTGCATATCTAGTAAAACTAAAGGAAACCTTATTGTTGCACCACTAGCTTGATGCACACTCTGAGCTAAAAATAGCACACAGATGTGACTGAACATGAACAATCATTTACAGAGATCGGTCCTCAAATCTGGACTTAAGAAGATCTGACAGAGTTAAAGACATCATCACATCTGATGGAGCCAAACCAGCCACTGTAGCTGCATAACTTTGACAGATGCAGCCGCTCAGACTTGCTCGTCCCAGCTGGTGTGCAGTTCCCACGAGTGTTCCAAGAGTACCCCATTCTCCTGTTGCCTGATAAGACACCTGTGTCTAGATTCCACAGTACATGCCCATTAAGAGTCATTTCTTGATGTGCCTTGTGCCACCACTGTGTTTTTGTTCTCAAAAACACACAAACCAGAGCATGAGTACCTGAAGTACTGTATTCACACTGCAGTGAGTCATGTTTTTGTTTAGGCCACGGTTTATACAATAGAATTGTCTGACCATAATCCTTATCATACAAGTACTGCACCAGACAAATAATTACCTGTTGCACTGGTTTCACATTTCTAGTCAAACATCTATCCTTCCCCCTTCAGCTGTCAGATTTGGCGTGTGATGCTGCCAAATAGTGCTTGTGGTGAACTCAATTATATGACCAGATGAACTGTGGTAGAGGAAGATTCCTTTACTTGTTGCAAACAAACATACAAAGTCCAGGATAATAATCAGGTCGTAAGACAGTCCAAGGTCAGCGCCAGTAACCAAGTATAGCCAGGAGATCCAAACTCGAGAAGTCAGGTAGGAGATAGCAGAAGGTCAGTACACTTGCAGGCAATCAGAATCTGGGAGGGAATAGGCAAAACACAGTGGTCAAAAAACAGCAATCCAGGGTCAGAAACTAGAGAGTCAGGCAAGAATTACAGTAATGCTGGAGAGCCAGAGCTGGAGTCTAGAACAATCTGGCAGTGTTCTAGTGAGGAAACACTGCCTTTATGCTGTGGGACACAGGTGTGAGTAATCAGAAGCAGGTGAAACCTATGAACACAGATTAGACTAAAGAGTCTGTAACTGAGATGCGACTGAAAAGGAAGTGGATACAAAATAAAAGCGCATGGCAGGAAGCTGACGGGGCAGGATCGTGACATCAGCAAGCACTTAGTGACATTGGAAAGGAACAGCTCCCTTTAACAGAAGAAAATGAAATCTGCCTAGACCAGCTGGGGCGAGTGGAGAGCAGAGAGAGAAAATAAGAGCACCAAGAAACAGCAAACAAACACTTGGCAGTGTTTGTTAGTGGGACCAGTTACTGCTCATCAGAAACATAAAGCTCTGGAGCCAGGGATACCTGCAGAGAGGTACAGGGAAAGAAAGGAGGAGAAAAAACAAATTATAAGAAAGAGAGAAGACAAAATTAATGACATGCAATGATGGCAAATAAATGCATGGAGAGTGAGGAGAAGAGAGGGGAGTGGAGGAGAGAAGAGAAGAGAAGAGAAGAGAGGTGCTCAGTGCATCATGGGAAGTCTATCAGCAGCCTGGGCCTATAACAGCATAACTATTGGATGGTTCAGGATCTTTTGAGTCAGTCCTTTCAGAGGTCAGAGGTCTTTAAGATACAAAGGAGCTTGATCATTAAGGGCTCTGTATGTAAAGAGAAGCATTTTAAAATCTATTCTGGATTTTACAGGAAGCCAGTGAAGAGAAATTGTTATGGTTGATGATGTTTATTGGTTATTTGGCACACCCCTTGTAATTTGAATGCTGCTCTGTGCAGTGTTTTGGCATATGATAACTTGTCAACTCATGGCTTTAATGCTAACTAGGATTACTGCTTCCTGAGTGTATGCCCTTGCCAACAAGTCAAATTCACAGGAATGGGAGGTTGCTGATGTCGTGGGTAGAATCAATGCACAGAGAAAATTACTGCAGTGCCAAGAATCATTTATTGAACAATCTTATTGAAATATGAGTGTGGATATTGTGTTAGTTTTTAGTCTTTGTCACTCTGCAGAGGAAGTCAGGTAGTCTGGAACATGTCTTCTCCCTGGGGTCTCCACGCAAAAAGCGATCAATCTCGCTGCTACTTTTTTATTCCCATCTCTCTCTTCCTGGCATTCTTCCCTCATTACCTCAGCTCTTAAGTGTCTTCTCCTTTTTTGGGAAAGTCCTGACCTTCAGACTTTCCCTTCAAGCAGCACAGAGAAAACAAAAGGTCACTGACCTTTTCTTGTTACGCAAGCATTTTCCTCTACTAACACTAGAAGTCTATTCTAACATATATATCCCATAGCACATGTTAACAAAGAATTAACTGCTAACCATATACTGTTTGTTTTAACTACTACACTGACCTTATGTTTTGACCACCAAAATCTAATCAGTTCATCCTCAAGTAGATGTTTGTGTCAAATTTGAAGAAATTCTCTCAAGGCGTTCCTGAGATATCACATTCACAAGAATGGGCCAGACAGACAGATATATATAAGAACATAGGGATGGATGGGGGGGGGACAGCCCCCAAGATATACTACAGTAAAAACAGTGACTCTGAAAATACTGAGTTTCATAATTGAATGATACTTTAGTAACAGAATTACAGCCCTGTCTCAAAAGCTATAATGTTAAGTCTGAAATTGTTAAAAATAATCTGGTCAGTATTATCTTAAAATGATTTTTATTCACTAATGCTAAATATTTGCATATCACTTAGCTGATATTTATACTGATAATTACACTATATACTGACAATTATACAAATTTTAGATTGCAGAATAGATATCTGTTCACTGTGTCCTCATTAGTTTAACAAAAATGGAACATTAGATTGTTTTGTTAGTATTCAACAGGTTCATCTCCCATGATGCACTGGTCATACAGCTGTCAAAGATTCATAACCTAACCACAATAATGCATTATTGATGTGAGGCTAGTAAAACAGAAAATATTTATACAGTAACTAATGACTAACCAGCTGTCTGTGGGTTTTGATTTATGAACCCTATTTGAGGTTAGCTCAACACTTTTTTTTTCAGCTCATCCTGGAAAAACAAAAACTCATTGCAATGCAACATCATCTGCACCTCTCCAAGCACAAATTCAATGATTTGGTAAGTTGGTTCTAAATGCTGTTAGCTTTCACTGTTTCTTTCAGTTTGATTTGCTTGATGGAGCAATTTGTATAGTGTATGAATAATGTATGTGTATGTTTAGTGCATGTGTAATTTGAAAAAAATAATTGGATTTTTTTTAACCAAAATATTTGAACTTGTAAAAAATTTCTTTGTATAGAAATTGTCTGTTCATGTCAACCTCCATCATTGCATGCAGAAGGCAGCTTCTGAGTGGCCATACAGCCTTCCTCTGTTCCTGTCCCAGCCTCAAGTAACAGAGGGAGACAGAGTGCAACAGTGGGACAGTAAACATCTGGAGGAGTTGGCCCTGCATGGATACAGAGCTACTGGTTCTGCCCACCATCTGCCAGGTAGCACAGTTTCCAATGAAATTTGAGGACAACAGATTTGTATTTGTTACATTCTGAGCTCTGCAATATTTGAGGCCACCACATAACAAGAGTTCACTAATATTTTAACAAACACAGGCGCATAAGGCTGGTCAAATTATACAGTTTCATTTTTATTAATTTTTCAACAAATAAGCAAAAAAAAGCTTGTAAGAGCATATTTGATTACGTTGGCTAGTTAGAGTTTGCATGTAAAGGAACAGAGTGAGCAGCTTTGTAGAGAGTGTGGAAAGGAAATAGCCTACTACTGATCAATCAAAAAGGACTTCAGTTAAAGTGACCATGGCATGCTCGTTTGCACCCATTTTATGTTTAATCTTGGTTACCTCTAGATTAGCTTTGCACCCATCATAGCTCCAAATAGTCTGAAATTATTTCAGAATGATAAAACCAGAGCATCTTTTGGACAGTGTGGTTGTTAGGGTCTGATGTGAACTAAATTAATTCAGGCAAACCATCCCAATGATTATTTATTAGTACAATAATTCTAAGCAGTTCATTAAATTGAAAGGCATTTCAACAATCTGAAAGATAGGGAACATAATTTCCATCTCTGCATAAAAAAAGAAACACACTCTAGAACTGTCTTCTTTCACATTGTGCAATATCACCTAAATTAGGGACTGCAGAAAAGGTCATGGGGCCGGTTCTGTTCATCATTTTTATGGACAGAATTTCTAGGTTCAGCCAGGGGCCGGAGGGAGTCCAGTTTGGGGACCACAGGATCTCATCTCTGCTTTTTGTGGATGACGTTGTCCTGTTGGCTCCATCAGGCCAGGACCTTCAGCGTGCACTGGGACGATTTGCAGCCAAGTGTGAAGCGGATGGGATGAGAATCAGCACCTCCAAGTCCGAAGCCATGGTTCTCAGTCGTAAAAGGGTGGCTTGTTCCCTTCAGGT